GACAACCACAGAGGTGGTGACACCCTGTGGACAACCTCAGAGGAGGTGGTGGCACTTTGGGGACAACCTCAGCGGGGGTGGTGGCACCTTGGGAACAACCTCAGAGGGGGTGGTGGCACCTTGGGGACAACCTCAGAGGTGGTGGCACTTTGGGGACAACCTCAGCGGGGGCGGTGGCCTCGGCGCTGGCGGCGCGTCCCGAACGGTTCTGGCACCACCTTCTGGACAAAAGATTCCCGGGAAAAAAAAAAATCGGGAATGCGGCTGAGAACGAGGGATGCGGGGCTGCCACTGTCCCCACGCGATGTCCCCTGCCGGACTGGAATCATGGAACGGTTGGGATGGGATTTAAGGATTTAGGGAAAGAAGGGACAACCTCCATTGTCCCAGGGTGCTCCAAGCCCTGCCCGACCTGGCCTTGGACACTTCCAGGGATGGAGCAGCCACGGATTCTCTGGGAATTCTGTGCCACTCCAGGCGTGCCCCAGTCCAAGGTCCCAGCTCATTCCAGGCTGGGAACACCACGGCCACAATCCCGAACCGTTTGGTTCCCTCCTGGCATTCCCAGCTGGAGCAGAAGCCGGGAATCAGGCGAGGTGCTGAGGAAAAGCCGGAATTGCTCTTTGCACCCGGTTGTAAATTCCTGGCAGTTTGGGGGATGGTGCCGGGGAATGCTCGGCTGCTCCCTGCACCGTTCCCACTGGGAATGCTGGGCCTGGCCACGCAGGGAGCTGCTGCTGGTCACCCTCTGCTCACCCATCCCACGGCGTCCCCCTGGCAGCTCCAGCCAAGCCCCGATTCCCTGGAATCCACCAGCGAACATCCCTGCAGCTCTTGGGAATGTTTTCCACCTGGATCTGCTTTTCCCTCTTTGCCAGCACCTCGTTCCACCCTAAATCCAACCTGAATTACTCCAGGAACAGCCCGGGAAGGATGGGGAAGAGGAGCTGAATCCAAACGTCCTGCCTGGCACAAAGGATCCCCGATTGCCAATGTTCCAGAGGAAGGGATGTGCCTGGCATGCCGAGGGCACGGCTGGCACGGATTCACGGCTCCTGGGGAGCCCGTTTTGTTGGAGAGGGAAGGGAGGGAGCAGGGATGGGAAGGGAAAAAGGGGGAAGGAAAAAGGGGAAAGGAGGAGGGAA